GCAAATCTATGTAATTCAACATACGGTACAGCACATGAAAAGAAAATTAAGAAGCAATCAAATAAATACATTAGAGGCGGTATTTCTTTAAAAGAAAAACGAAAGTTGAAATATTTTTGATTTTGTACAAACAAAGAAACCTAATAATTATAATAATAAGAGACAATTAAACACCAATAAGATAAACTGAAATATAAGAAAAGAAAAGATTCGATTGAAATTAACAAAAAAATTTAATGCAGAAATATTTAAGCACTTTATTTAAGCACAAATATTTGAAGCACTTTGTGCATCACACTATCTGTTGACTAAGTATGGATAAGAACGGAAGAAATAATTAGCGGTACACATATTACGTAGACATAAGGGATAAGAGATACAGAATCAGATTGAGCGGATAAAATGGAGTATATCATGAACAGATTTCCGTGCGAATCTTTCGGGATCCCTTCAAATATACTATATACATTGTACTGGCACTTTGTTCAATTATGGCTGTTGAGAAAGTTTCTTGTCTTACTTAGCTGTAGAATTCGGGCTTAGCGACTAGTAGTGTTTGCGAGGAAAACAAGTGATGACAGCTCTCTTGCTTGTACCATATACTGACAGCTGATAACGTGTTGTAATTAAACATCAGCTAATGTATTATTTGTCAAATGCTTGATTTTCTAACACAATTAAATTTAGTCATTTGCTAAAATATCGAGAAAAAAATGCTTAATTCAATATGAAGCTAAGGAAATACTTGCAATAATCGCAGAATATAACCTTGAGAATAGTTTAATTATTTATTTATCTGTTGTTTAATAGTTAAGAAATTTTTGTCCACCAAGTGCTCTACACTTCGACAAGGTTATTTGCCGGAAAAAAATGCGAAATCTTTTATCGAAAACATGTGCTAGCAAAACAGGATCACTACTTAAGAGCCATTGCAGATAAGCGACGACCAAGTGCTGCAGAAGCTGCTCAATCGATTTTCTCCAAACTTGATTTCAGTTACATAGGTCAAACGTACAATCAATAGCAAGTCTTTTGCCGCAAATGACAACTCTACAATCCAAATAGCTAGTGAGATATTCAAGTTTTAAGAAAAGTTCCCGTTTTTCTGGTGGTGAATTAGGATCAATTAGCGTTGAATCTTGAGTGTGTTATTTTCTAACGGCTTGACTTAGAGACACGAAAATTTCACCACAAATACAACTTGGATCAGGCTAGAAAACAGTGCAAGTCCGGGCTCCAGAGACCGCTTTATTATCAAGTCATAGATGGCGCTACCGCTACTACTTCACCATTCATTATTTCGTGCGTAACCAGCTCCGTAAGGCTCAGCCTTTTAGGGTAGATACTAGAAGAGTGGAGTGATAAAACGGCAAAAGAAAACCGTTGGATTTCCAAGAGGAACGCGAGATATTGGATTTTTAGTGAAATTTCGGCATCGATGGATAGGCTCAATCCATATAAACCTACCACCATTTGCATCGACCTTTAATGTCAGTGACGAGAACTATCTCATATTATAGAGCTCAGCAAGCTGAACGAATGGTGAAAACCGAAGTCTGTGGCCTTGTTAGAAAAAAGTTATAGCCGTTTTATCCTCGCAGCGGAAAAATGCATCTTCGTGATTTTTCGGCGGCTTTCGTCGAGCTTGCAGAGCCTCTGCGGACCATGTTACCTAACGCAGAACCTTGAACTTGATATCAAATGGACACAAGATGGTAGAAACTTGATCAGCATCTCATTTGTGAAGAATTGAAGGGGCTATCCAATGATATGGTAGAAAAACTTCTGAAAAAATTTTAAGATTACAAGGTTTTCTAGAAAACCAGGTTTTTCAGAAATCTCTATCTCAAGATCCTCAGGCGTAGCATAACTTTTCTTCATGGAAATATACACAACTCGACGGGCTCTTCCATTTGATACCAAGTTCAAGGTTCTGCGTTAGGTAATATGGTAGTTTAAAAAACTTCTTTTTGGTATAGAAAAATGAGTCGGATTAGGAAGAAATGATTGTAACCAACTCTAAAGTGAGAAACGACGAAAATCTCGTTAGATTTTGAAGCTAGGTTTATATTGCTGTGAGTTTCAGCTGTTTAACCTATTGGAATAGTGCGTTACAATAAAAATATTCAAAACTCGAATTTCACCAAATCAACCGTAACTCGGGAAGGAAACTGCAACAATCCAACTCCTTTTAGGATTTTTACACTCATGTGCCCTATCGATCAGCAAAATATGAGTTCAAACGGAGTTAAACACCTGGAGAGGTTCCCTCGTAAGCCTAATTTTAAGAAGGAAAAAGTAGAAGAAATACAATCAGGCGACTTTTCTAAAATTGTGTACTGTGTAGTGAGTATCTCTTCTGAGTATCCTTCTTTTAAAAGATATTTGATGCATTTTGTAAAGTAAACAGTTTTATAGAAAATACACTATTTTACAACCTTAGCAAGGTATCCAGCAACAAAATGAAATGCTTTTGAAAATTTTCAACTGCAAGGTTTTAACAATTATCAAAATGGACTTGAAAGTGACATCATTTTGAATATTTCTGCTATATTGTTTTACATTTATCTTTCTTGAGCAAACATAAAAGCATCTGAGTGACTAATCATGATTCATAGAATAAACATGTGTCATTTGCAAGAATAATATTAACGGACCATGCTTTTAAATAAAATGAGTGTTATTTTAACCAGAAGCATTCTTTCAATCATGGGCAATAAAACATCTCAATATGCAACGTATAAATTTGATCGTGATCAGCTGTTTTATTGGTGCGGTGAGGTTGTATCTGGCACCGCTTATGTGTCTTCGGCTAGTGTAGACGAGTATAAAATAAAGCCAGAGAAAATGTACGTGGAATTAATTGGTGAAATTGGTTACACAGGTACATCAACCACAACGGACAGTGAGGGAAATACTCACCACCAGACTGAATATTATAGTGAACCGTTCTATGTGCAGACTATTACCTATACCAATGGTGTAAAGGAAGACGGTGATGGCCAATTTATTTATCCATTTCAGCTTCCTTTAGCTCATCATCTGCCGCCATCGGTCGGACAACCAACATTGTACCCGCATGTTCGATATTCAGTCTCAGTCAGTTTAAACAGCAAGAAATGGTTCAAAGCGGATAAAAAACAACCATTCTACATCACAGTGCTTCCTCGTGTGCCCGTTCCAAGCGTTTTTAGTTTGCCAACAATATATGGAAATCAGAATCGAAAACAGGTCTCACTGAAAGGTACAATGCCAAAACTGAACTATATTCTTCTGGAGACCATTACGTCTTCATTTGAAATTGTAAATCCAAATCGTGTCTTGATCAAACAAATTGCTGTGTCGCTCATTGAGCTCGATCGAATCTCTGGCGAAAATCGAACAAATTGCGTGGTCGAAATTATTTCATCAGCAACCATGAACAAGAATAATGAAAAAATAAATGATACATTCTCGATTCAAATACCGGCGTCTTATGAAATGGTGAAACATCCGCACACAGGTGGTAAAGATCAACTGTATTTAGCACCATCGTTCCAGTTTAACGGTGGTATTCGACGTCCTCTTGACATTACCGTTCAGTATCAGTTGAAAATCGAAGTGAAATGCGAAGGATTTCGAAAAGATTTTGACGTTCAAATACCGATTACGATTGGAACAGAAATATGCTAATGTATTTTGTGAAAACGTCCTAGGACTTGTCCATTTCCCGAAGGAAAAGGAAGTTTGAAGT